TTTTTCGCTACACAGTTTTAACCATGTTTCAAAAATGGAAGCTAAAAGCCACGAATTTAATTTTGCAATTAAATTAAAGACATTAGTTCCATTTCATCCTCAAGCGAATTTTGGAGTAAATTTTAAAATTACTGGATTTTAAAGACATAGGTAAAATCACGTTTCCATGGTTACAGATAAATCTACTTCAACTGGACAAGGGTTGTCTGGGTTTTCCGTATGTCTGCATCATTGTATCGGTTATTAGCTGCATTTTGGTAAGGGGTAGGGATGACATCCGTTGAATGCATGTCGTCTGGATTTTTTTTACCAAAATGTAGCTAATAACCGATACAATTCGCTTGGATTTTGGAGATAGACCCCCATAACCATATATATTCTCAAACTACATTACACAGAGTACTTGGGTAAGGATATTTCATTTTGATCAAAATGAGCGTCTATTCTCCAGGTGAGCACCACCGACTGAAGAAGTACATACAGTGTCGAAACATCATTACATTTATGGGGCGGTTTATAACATATTTTGTTATAATTGTTAATATCAGATTTGGGCATGTATGAACAATTACTATAAAGGTAAAGAGAAATACAACAAAAGTGAGGAGGCTGTGGAGAGCCATAAATGTTCATGAGCAATAAATATTCAGGGCCATACATAAAAAGAGAGCGAGAAAAGCTACTTGATAAAACTGGAGGAAATGGATAGATGAACATATGCCACAAAAACGAAGAGGGGTTGTTAAGGAACGACAATGAAAAAGAAGCTGTGAAGAGCCATGATCGTTTACTTCTTGAAGAATTATAGTAAAGAGAGAGAAAGAGAGAGAGAGAAAGTACGTGTATTTATTTACTGTTATTGCATTTATGCAAGCGTTACAAATATACTTTTCTTGTATTACTTTTTTTTTTAATTAAATCATACTCTACAGATACTGTATTCCTTACTGTAGAGAAGAGACGAATTTAGCATCCAGTTTCCCTTTTGGGATGTAATGTAATCCTAAAATATAGGGATAAGCTTAGAGATTACCCTACCTTGTGTGCTAGGTGACGTTGTAATCACTGCTACAAAGTGGATAAAGACGTTGGTTTTTCTTAGATCCAGTGACTAAACTCAAAGAGTTGTGAGTTCAATAAAAGGCCATAGCAGTGGTGAACACAAAACTTGGCGTTAAAAGGGAAATAACTGAGACATCCGAAAGAGGCATGGCACCTGGAACTAGAACAATCGACCCCTGTGGGTGAAATAAATGCTTCGGTTCAAAATTCTATTCACCAGAAGAAGGCCGGAGCGTACAACAGCCGAAACGTTGTGGATATGGCAGTAAAGATTGGGATAGCAGTCAGTAAATAATTAATGAACACCCACGTTGTTCTGAAATAAATTGGTATATAAAAAGCTGTTATTTACCTTTGTCTTCCGACTGAGATGTGATGTGTCGGGTTTTTAACGTGGGGAACCCAAGCACGCAGACTCGAGCCAAGTACAAAAAATTCTCCAAAAGCCCACAGTGCCGGACACCTCAAAGAATTATTTTCCTTAGCTGCATCTCTGTCCGCTGAGTGAGCCACAATTGAGCCACCCTCTGCCAGAAGACAGTTTCTTTTTAGCTATTTCCCCTTACGCAAGGCGATAAAGCAACTAAGGTACTTGATAGTTGATGAAACCGAGGAAATGCTACTGAGTAAATGACAAAAAAAGAAACGTACCTTAGTTGCTTTATCGCCTTGCGTAAGATTTCATAAAGACAGAAGATGAGGACTGACGTTGCATTTAATGTTCTAAAGATTGTAGAAATCAAAAAACGGGAAATGAGATCCACAGGCCAGAAGTGCGAGAAAAAAACTATTATAATAGAACGTGAGATTACATCTAGTAATTTCAATAGTGAAATGATGGGATCTACCAGCCAATCTAGTACTGCGCTTAAATTCAGGAAGTTGAGTTCCCCAAGAGGCAAGCTCATCAGAACAGTGTGATAGAAGAATTTATTAGTATAGAATTTACAATTCCGTCTTCCATAGTTTCAAATTTGCATATTCTAATGACAAACAGCCTTATCATTGGTCTATTTCCCGTTTTGCAGATAAACGCGTAGAATCTAAGATTCATTCGATGAATAGACGGCATTAAAAAAAGGTTTTATTTCAAAGAAAGTCCAGACTTCTTTTTAGTTAGCAATTTTTTAGGGGAATAAAGAAACTCATAGTCATTTATTATGCATCTATTAAACAGATCACCAAGGAAATTACTCAAAACATTTTTTCTCAAATTTTGACTGTGCCAATTTGTAAGAATTTCGATAGAAGTTAAATAGGCACTAAATGAATATTTCCGATATCGTTTTGAAAGAGAAAAGAAAAAAACATTGATTAAATACCAGTAATACACACACACACTCTCTCTCTCTCTCTCTCTCTCTCTCTCTCTCTATATATATATATATATATATATATATATATATATATATATATATATATGAAATTGTCTGTTGTCTGATTAGATGTCTTCAAATACAGGCTGTAAAAAATCAATCTCAAACAGAACAGGATGGAAACAAATGAGTTAATTGAAAATAGACAATTGAACACGTGATTGCTATGTATTTAGAGATTCTTCATAAAATCCAAAGAAGAACCTACACTATTATCGGTTCTGACCTGGCATCTCGGCTTCAGTCATTTTCCCGCCGCCGTAATGTAGCTGTCCTGTGGCTTTTCTATAAATATTTCCATGGTAATTGTTCTGATGAGACTCTGAGGTATTATGGTGTCTGGATTAAGGATAGGAATGTTATTTATCCTGGCCTCCCCATTGAGGTTTAAGGTGAGAAACCCCAGTGGCGTACATCCGAGCCAAGGACAAAAATTGCCCAGCAACGCAGATGTCGGTTGAGCTCGCAACGGTATGACTACTCATCTCTCCTCTTCAGTGAAATGGACGTGGTAGGTTCATCCTCGAGCAGCTGTTCGCCGGGAGCGGATCACTCACAGTATTTATTTTCCTAAGTTTCCTGTCCGCGGACAGAGCTTCAACTGACTCACATTCTGCCTGAAGAGAGAGACGCAAATAAAAGATGATAAACCCTAACCGGCATGTGCCAGGTAAGAATAGTAAGTAAGAGTGTACAGTTTTGGTATGAGAATTATTGTTGTAAGTTTGTGCCCATTTAAATATAAAGCAGCTGATGACCAGTCTCCACTCCTCCCCCATCCATCATTTTGGCCTTGTGCCCCATTTTTGTATAATGCAAAATAAATATTTCTGTTTTCTATCGTAACTGGACATTACGATTTGAAGTCTAATACTACATTAGTAGTTAGGTCTCATTAGTAGCCAGACATTTGGCCGACGGACATTCGGCCGACGGACATTTCACCGAAAAAGTACAAGTAAAAATAGTAAAAAGCAATACTTTAAGTATTTTAATTTGCAATATTATAAGGTAGAATAGGACTAATAATTAACACTGAATTTCAAGTAATCAAATTACTAAATCTAAATTTAAAGTTAAAAGTTTTCTTATTTCAATATTTGTTTAATGAAATTAGTATTTTTTTAAATATTTCAGTGTATGTGGGTAAAAACGTAGCACCTAATTATTTAAATTCGTATTTAATAGTAAGATAAAAGTTAGTTCATCTCTTTATGAGAATTATTATTAAAAGCAAAATTGAAAGATTTTTCATATCGTAAAAGCTTAATATTTTTGCTATAGTAAAATGTGCTTTTTCACAAAATACTTATCATTTTACAGTAATATTTTATAAGTAAAATATAATATATACAGAATAGATTTAAAAAAAAAAGCTTGTCAAACAAAAAAAAAAACCGAAAAATTATAAATTAATAGATTAAATAAATATAAATATATGTCGCACATTATGATAAAGAGTGTGACATATATGTATTTACGCCAGTACATTTTCGACTAAATGTCCATTCGGTTGAATGTCCATTCTGTTAAATGTCCGTCGGCCATATGTCCTCATTATTTTGCAGCCGAAATGGCTAGATATAACCGTAAGTTCTATGCTAAGAGTTTCTTCGCTCGTACTTTTTGCATATTGAAATCTTTTCCTGGTTCTTGCTCTCAGGTCAAATTTGATGTTCAAAATTTAAAGCCAGTGTCAATCTGTCTTCTGTTTTCTTAATTACTGTTCTTTTATCATTCTCTCTCCTTAATCATAGTTTTCTTCTTATATTAATTCCCACTCAATAAACTGTCTTGTCTTAGTGAATTTATTGCCTTACATGGGATGAAAGGATTTTAAAAATATCGACAAACAAACACATGTTTGATTGTGTAATTAATTATTGTATTGAAGGAAATTAACGTTTAATGTACTTTAGTAATATTAAATCCCGCAAGAAGCGAGTGTTGTTTGTGTGTGGAGGAATGTTTGCTCAGGTGTGTCTTAGTGTGTGTTCGATTTAGTCATAGTTTACCTGTATGTAGGTTTGTATTTTAATATATTCGCGCGTACGTCTGTTTGTCCATGAGTCGGAATGCTTTTGTATGGACGCGTGTGCTCTTGGCCATTCTGATCGCTGGAAAAGAGAGGGGGAATTTCTTCTAGAATATTTCGCATGATTAATCTTGACAAAGCATTCTACTAATGCCTAGCGTCCAGTGGTCCAAATCACAGACTATCTCCAAAAACACACTATATTTGAAAGCGATTCTTTTAGAACTATTGATTGGTCTTTTTCTAGACCGAGGTAAGTACATTGGTAGAGAATTGGGTAAAGCATGATTCGTCCCAGAAGATTACACCATGCCAAAATCCGGATTCTTCTTGAACATACCACTATTAAGCCTTTTCATTTCTTTTCTAGATGTTGGTTGAGATTAGTACAAACTTGTGTCTACCAACCCTCAACTAGTAGCCAGTGCTGTAGGGAGACCACACAGCTGTTTTGTGACTCACATTAATAGCAGCTAATATGTCGGAAGAATATTTTATTAAGTTGCTCTCCGCATATCACTGACGTTTACGGCCGCATCACGATGAAACATCGGTTCCTGTACGATCACTAAAGTTAAGCAACGTTGCGCCTGGTCAGTACCTAGATGGTTGACCGACTGGGAATGCCTGGTGCTGCAAACTTGTAAATAAATATTGCTTTCTTCTGTCGTAACTGAACATTACGAATTTAAGCGTAGTACTGCATTAGTAGTTAGGTCCCATTAGTGGCCGGACATTTGGCCGACAGATATTTGGCCGACGGACATTCGGGTGGCGTAATGGATAATGCTCTGAATTTTTAATAGGAGAGCCGAGTTCCAATTCCAGTTGGGTTCGTTATATTCTCTTATACTAAAATACCCCTGGGAAATGTAGGAATCCACCTCTTATCTCCCCAACTATGGGTAAATTAGTAAAACTTTATCATTAAACCATTATTATCTTCAAAAAATAAATTCTTACAATGTAAAAATAGATTCTGGCTTTAAATAACCTGCAATGGGTTGGTAAGCCGTAAAAAATGAATCAATCAATCACCACTGAACAGATAAGAGATAATCTATCTGAAGGTCCAGATCTCCAAGATGCTGGTAATTGTTCTTTTCTTTCATAACTGAGTCTTCCCGACTGTTCAGGAATTCTTATCCTTAAAAGACTTGGTAACTTTTTGCTCTAGATATTGAGGTGCTATGTAAGCCTCAAATCTGAAACGAAATAATAGGGTTTGTGTTACAAGCTATAGGGTATTGGCAACTCATGAAATAGAAAAGCAGGTGCTCTATACTTGTGCCTTTGTGCCACATCTAAGATTACTCTTATTAAATCCCAATGAGATAGAAATGTATAAATAAGGATGTTTATTTACTTTCGACAGATCACAGTATTTAGAATTATGATAAATATCTAGCTGTTTTTTTTTAACACGTTAATTTAATCCTCTGGTTAAAGATAAATAATGGAAAGAGATTTTAAGTGCCGAGCCAATTTTACTCAATTCTTCATAAAAGGTTTATACAAAGAACAATTCTAAGAAAACATGAACGTACATCATATTTAACTACATCCATTTTCTATAAAGGATTTCTGGGAAGAAATCCATTTATCACCCATGACCTTCCATTTGAATTTAAACGTGAAAGCATTTAATTCCATCAAGTTTTAATTTCAATGCGCCTATGTCACGCTAACTTTATTCGTTTGTCCCTTGGAGAGATCCTGTTTTGGCATTGGGATATATACGCCATGTAAGATTTTAAGTCGATGTTTTCACAATTATATAACTATGAACTAATTCATTTTTGTAAAGTTTACTCATGCTTATATAATAAATATAAAGACTGATTTAAGGCTTAATATAGAAATATTTACAATAAGTTGTTACGTGGCGAAAGATTTTTATTCGAAATTGCGTGTCTTCAGGTTAAAATGAAAGACAAAAATGAAAACTGAGACAGAAAATTGCTTTGGGATTTTCGTCTGCGAAACGCGTCGTTATAAAGTTGTCATTTTTTTCTGCATTTTCCCTCATTATCTTCACTTTTACTTACACTATTTACATTCCTCTTTGGGGTCAATTCACCTCAACCAAGGCGATAATGCCACTAAGACGCAAGGAGCTACTAGGAGTAAAAGAGAATGACAAAATAACTTTACAAGGAACCGGGAACATAACCCTAAACAAGAAACAAGTGATAAACCTCTACTCCTATTCAGTAGCCCAGAAAGGAGTGTGAACCGGGCGATAGGCGAATCTATCTACCTAGGCGGACTGTTGTCCTTGCTTTTATGGCTCTTAATACAACGTTTCGGTTGTTGTGCTCTTCGTTCTTCAACAGGGATATATCGATCCGGTAACCTACAGGAAATTCCAGACTGAACCCTATATAATCTATGGGAGTAAATAGTTCTTGTTCCCCGACCAATGTCTAGGGATATCAAGTATAGTTCTGATCGTCCTGTTCCCAGTGTCCAAATACACACTGCCCTGCCCAAGCAACAGTAAAAAAAAAAAAGTATCGTTCTGCGTTGATGAAATGTTCGGCCAGGAGAGTAAACAGCCCGTCACCAAGATGTAGACAAGGAAAATAGGGGAGAGTAGCTATCCACCTACTTGACGTGATTCTGTGAATAAATGGCGGAACGAAGAGCGAGAGGCTTAACAAAGAGACAGACATTTTTAAGGGTTACAAGGGTGCTGTAGTATACCTAAGGATGATAATGGGTATGCCCACATTGACATAAATACAGTAGTAAATACTGTATGTTGGTCTACAGTTGGAGATTTGTCTCCAGCTGTGCTAGTCAAACTCTCTGCCTCTGGGGAGAGAGGAACTCCAGACGAGGCTATGTCGAAGGGCGGAGTCTCGTCTTGGAAAACAGCTACCCGTCCCCGTTTTATACAAGGTCTACGGGGAATTTTTGGCCTAGACTACGGGCTCGGATACCCCACATTAAATTCGGCCTTGTGACACATCTGATCGCGTGGAGATTCGTTATGGAATTCACCTGACTCACTTCTAGCAATTGACTACTTCTTCTATGCGCCACTGGCGAATCTTATTTGTGTTGCTCGTGTCCTAAGTATTATTGTTCATTACCAATCTCCGTTTGATTATTCTATTCAGTAACCTTCTCTAGGTTGCAAAAAAAGTAATAGGAAGCTATGGAGAGCAATCAACGTCATGAAGGGACATGACAGCTATGAGCTTTGATAAAAAATTATCAAGACAGTTACTATGGTAACAGAGCTAAAGTATGCAAAGTGAAGCACAGATTGATCTTGAAGCTGTCGTCGCGCATGCACACTACGTTATACTGCCTCGCTCACTTCCGCTTTTTATACCCGTGCTTAGAAGGAGAGTGTGTAGAGTGTGGCTGTCTGATCATAAGACAGGAAAACTTTTCAAAACGCTTATAACCGGGCTTATATCGTGGGTTTATGGCTATGACCTCGAAAGCAAGGCTCAGTTTTCGCAGTAGAAGACCTCAATCACTCCGAGACCGAAAAAAGCACGAATGGGTCGAAGCAAGGTGAAGACATTGTTGACAGATTTCTTCGACTGAAAGGGCATTGTTCATCATGAGTATCTTCCATCTGGTCACGCATCAAACAGGGAGTACAACCGTGATGTTTTGTGGTGTTTTCGTGATGCTGTTCGTCGAAGAGTAACAACTTCACAATGACAATACACCTGCCCATTCAGTACAGCGTGTGCATCAGTTTTTGGCTAAACAGAACATTCTCCATATCCACCAACCACCATATTCCCCAGATATAATTCCCTTATAATTATTTTTTACTTTCCAAAAATCAAATCCCACTTGAATGGAACATGATTTTATAAATAACTAGCAGTAGAGCCCGGCGTTGCCCGGGGATATAACAGTAAGAGGTAGATCAAGTATCCACCATCATAAAGACTGAAAAATAAAATTGACAAAGATTATTGTTTAAGGTTGACGGACATGCATGTCTTAATTAGTTATTTTTTTTTTTTTACGAATTGGTCAAATCCAAACTCAAACAAAAACATTGTTTTCAATCGTTATGAGTCTCCCGATTGAGACAATAAGCAAGAAAATAAGAAACACTACATGCCAAAAAAAAAAAAAAAAAAATGAAGTTTTGTTGAAATCGGTTGAAAAATGTAGGTAGCCTTTCTGTAATCTTTTAGTCTGTAGTTTTTATTTTTTTTTTTTTTTTACGAATTGGTCAAACCCAAACTCAAACAAAAACATTGTTTTCAATCGTTATGAGTCTCCCAATTGAATAGAATTTTATTATAAATAATTGTCTTGTAAATGGAATTTTTAAAGCATTCTGAATGTTAAAAATAAAGAAAAAAGTGTGCAAGAGAATAAGAAAGACTACCTGCCAAAAAAAAAAAAAAAGTGAAGTTTTGTTTTATCGGCTGAAAAATATAGGAAATCCGATGTGAGTTGTCCCCCTTCCATTTTCACGATGTCTCTTAATCGTGTTTTCAAATTGATTTTGTGCAAAAACAATTATATTTTTCCCATTTTTGGTGCTGTTAGAACCATCACAAGGTAATTTTATGTAGTCCTGTGAAGTTTTGTTGAAATCGGTTGAAAAATGTAGGAAATCCGGTCCAATATATAAACGTTACAGACACACACACACACACACAATCTGCGTTTTATAATAAGTAAGATGAAGAAACACAAGAGAATGCTCGCTATCCCTGCAAAAAAAGGAGTTCCAGGAATGATTCCATCAATGGAAACAATGCTGGATATAGCGTATTTTCAGAAGGGAACTGCTTTGAAAGAGGTTAATTTTTTTTAAGCGTTTCATCCCAAGCAAAGCGGGAAGCCAGCAGCACGCAAGGGGTTACAGAAAGCAGGAGCGAGAGCAAAGAGGTGTGATAGAGGAAAGGATGAAGAGAAGGATAGGGGATAGATCAAGGCATCGGGAGACGTCGATTGATATTACATTTGAATAGTTGGAGATTATAGCTATCAGGGAAACAAGAAATGGGGAGGGAGTTCCACAGGCGAGAAGTTCGAGTCATAAAGCTATTGAAGTAGAAGAGACGGCTACATTTAACAGTTTCAACAGTGAAAGGCCGAGAGCGGGATGCCAGCCTAGTAGAACGCTTAAATTCATGAAGTCTGGGAACCAACGAAAGCGGCTCATCGGAGCAGTATTTGTAAAAAAGACAGAGGGAGGCGACGACACGTCTGTGAGAGAGCGACTGCAGACGAGATGCCAGATCAGGGCCAATTACATTGCATATCCGTTTCTGGATCTTATCAAGAACCCTGAGACAAACATAAGAGGCACCAGACCATATATGGCAGAAATACTCCATGCAAGGACGAATGGTTGATTTGTATATTTGAAGGATCGACTCCAGTGAGAAAAATTTCTTGGCGTAGCACAGAGAGCCAACTTTCCTTGCGCTGGACGAAGCTATTGGTTTAATGTATTTGTTCCATCTCAGGTCAGTAGACAAGGTGAGGCCGAGTAGTCGCAAATGCCGAATTGATATATGTTGTAATTTTATTTTTATAGCACCATTACTGATACTTTTACATCTGACTTCTTAGGAGAAGATTTACTCTTTACTAGCCGAATTACCCGCACCTTGCTGCGAGTCACACATTTCTTTTCAGAAA